CAGCATTTATCCTGGATGGCTCAAGGAAATCTTTCGAAGGAGTCATTGACACACTAGATCTGTATGCACAAATCTCTGGACTTAATATTAACTATGATAAATCAGAAGTGATTTGGATAGGAAGTTGTAGAAATAGTAATGCTAAATTAAGAGCAGATCTAAACTTACGTTGGAACCCAGGAAGCTTTAAGATCTTGGGGATAATTTTCTCGACTGATATTAACAAGATGATTAAGCTAAATTATGAAAGTAAGCTATATGAAATTGAAGAAATTATTAAACGATGGATGAAGAGAACTACAACCCCTCTAGGTAAAATTGCTATTATCAAGTCACTGCTCATTTCCAAATTAAATACCTTTTCCTTACTCTGCCCAATCCACCTGGTGTGTTTTTTAAAGTTAAATAGTATGTTATTTGGTTTTCTCTGGGATAATAAACCTGACAAAATTAAACGAACAATAGTTTGTAGACCAATTGTTGAGGGTGGGCTTGACATGATCGACATATATGCCTATGTCAATGCCCTGAAAGTAACATGGATTAGAAAACTACAACAACAAAACCATGATAGAAAGTGGAAACACCTGCTGATAGAAACACTTCCACAATATTTAAACCTTACACAGTTTGGTAGCGACTGTCCACACACTTTCAAAATCTATACAGACTACTTTCTGGAAAGATACTCTGAATGCTGTTGCCAATTATAGCTATAAGATTTTCTTAGGGATCCCCTTTGTATAACAGAAACATAATTATAGATGGCAAATCTTTCTACAGAAAAACATTTCAAGAACATGACATTGTTAATATTCATTATTTACTGAATGATGATGGTCACTTTATGACGCTTGTACAGTTTTGTCATAAATTTTACAATATATATTTTACTGAATTTCATGGAATTGTAAAAGCAGTAAGAAAGTACCTCAAAGCTACAGGGATTAAGAAAAACCTCAAATGTGATGTTAGATAACCTTATAAACATAAATATGAATAATCTTTTTTCATGCAAAAAAGGATCAAAGAGCTATTATTTTAAAATCACTGAAGATGAAGAAAAATTGAAGATCATCGAAAAATGGGAAGATGAAACCTTGATTAATATTAATTGGAGCCATATCTTTATACAACCCTTTAAGACAAGTCCTGATCCCAAGTTAAGATGGATGCAATGTAGGTTGCTTCATACAATATTTCCAGTAAATACATACTTGATTAAAATGAATATTGTTGATAATAATCTTTGCACATTCTGTGGGAGTGAGCCTGAATCTATACTTCACCTTTTCTGGAACTGTAGATTAAGTAAACATTTTTGGCAAAAAGCTTTCTCAGTGGATTGAACAAAACTGCTCACACACAGGTATTATTATTTTCCAGGTTGATCTGATCCTTTTTGGTTGTTCATCCACTTTCCAAACTGATGATATTTTTCATCTTATTTTGCTACTTACCAAGTATCATATATATAAATGCAAGCTGCAAAAGAAATCACAAACCCTCTACCATTTCAAGAAAGAATTAAGATACTATTATTTGATAGAAAAAGCTAGACATTGTTAAAAAGCTATTCTTAATGACTTTGAAAGGGAATGGGCCATGTATCGAAACTTAACTAATGAAGAAATATGATCTATTCAGTAATTGGGTATGTATGCTTTGGTGTGAATCCGTTCCATGGAGAAGGCGTCATTGTATGGGGCGTCATTTGTGGCCAGAGAGTGAAAAGACTGGTTATCGATATGATCCGAAGAAATCTGAATGCCCAACGATACAGGGATGATATGTGAGACCTTTTGTGGTGCCCTTTATTCGACAACAGCCAAGAGGTGTCTTTTTGCAGTACGACAACGCAAGACCTCACTCTGCCAGAGTTGTTCGAGAACAACGTTAACGTCAACGTATTGCCTGGGCAGCACGTTCTACCCATTAAACATCTCTGGGATCATCGTGATCGTCACCTGAGACAGCATATATCACATCCCAGCGAAACGAGATGAACTTGAGCATACTCCCTTGGACTTGTGGAACAGGATTTCTGCTGAAGCGACCATTGACGACGTCAATGAGGAGACGGGTGTTGTATTGTATGGATGCCCAGGGTGGTCACACTCGCTATTTAGATGACGTGTCCCCTGACTCCTGTCTCATTATGTGACTCTTTATTCACTTTTCGAATGAATTCAGATTTGTGTAACTATTAATCGTGATCCCTTGGCTCTTAATGAGTTGCGGTAAATGCAAGACCAGCATTACAATGAATTTTCAGTCTAATTATTTGAAAATCATTTCTGTTTGTAAAATAATTATCGTAAATCTCACATACGTCTTTCTTTCTGGTCTTTTGCCAGGTAGTTTATTATTATTACTTAGTGTTAATTAGTCTTTAGGCCTTATGACTCCTGTCTACAGGAACAAGGTGGCAGTCATATTGGTCATGCTATTAATCTGTCAGTCTATAGACGATCCAGTCCAGACATTTCGCTATTGCTCACCCCATGAAGGCATCACTCCACAGTGCCCTAATTTCAAGGCATCGCTCTGTGATCTTATCAGAGAATCAATATATAGAAAGTGTTCAAGTGTACCGCATATGATATATTTTCGCATGACACTTTCACATTCTATTACCTCTTTTGGGTTGAGACTCCAAAAGTACTAAAGTTTCTGAAAAGGTGTAATCACATATGATTTTTTACCACTTTCTAAATGACATGTGTGTATTTAAAATTTTCGGAAGTTGAAGCTGTGCCAACTTGCATTTATTAGAGGGGTACACAAAGTACGTGATCTAGACTACCAGTTGTCAGACTTCCATTTTTGTGGAAGCCGAAGTGGTTGAGTGGGCTGAGTGGCTGGAGATGCAAATGCCTAACACTGACCGTTTGGGTTCGAATCCTGGTTGGGGCTCAACCACACAAAGGTACCAGAATCTGTACTTTACTCAGAAAGAGTAACCCCAAATAAAAAATGTGTTACAATATATACTTGCAATTGATTAATGTGATTCTATCCTTTTTTGACGCATTCACGTATCCGCTATAAGGAAATCTCCCATCCATTGCAAAACCAGAGATATAGATTATGATTGAGGACGACACATCCTGAACCAATTTCGTACTTTACCTGCTTGGCAAAAAATATGTTTTTAGAGCTGAAAGTTCAGATGAGCCGCACCTCCTGGGTATTCTATTCAAGTAATGAGCATGGTGTTTGTGCATCCGGTTCATCAACTATTATTCAACATTAATCTAGTGCTCAAACCCGTGAAGATCCGGGTTAGAATTGATCTTCAGTAACCCATGCTTGTCGTAAGAGGCGACTAACGGGATCGGGTGGTCAGGCTCGCTGATTTGGTTGACACATGTCATCGAATCCCACTTGCGTAGATTGCTGTTCATGCTGTTCATCACTGGATTGTCTGGTCCAGGCTCGATATAGCTGGAATATTGCTGAGTGCGGCGTAAACTTTAACTCATTCACTCACTAATCTAGTGCTCAAAATTAGCGAATGCCTTAGGTCCATGGCAGTTATATCTCATGTCGGGCCAGTCGTTTCAACGTAGTATGGATCCTTATGTCCTGCGGTTTAACTAGTCTAGGTCTGCAGCTTCTAAAGTCTGTGTGTCCTGATACTATATATATATTCATTCATTTTACTAGTTTACTCTAATTCAATTGTTTTAACAATCCAAATAAGATGGTAGTTGGTTCCTAGAACGTTCACGTATTTATGTTACCTTATTCCTGTTGTGGTTGTTGTTTTAATATAAAATTGTTAGTTGTTAGATGGGGAAAATGATTCATAACGAAATGTAGATTATTGATTTAGAAAATGGTGTTGTACGGGAACAACATTATTGTCAGTGTATCGTGATCACGTTCGGTTTTAATTTTCTTTGAACTGTGTTTCGACCTTGAAGTGGTGAATTTCCTCGAGTTGATCCTAATGGGAAACACAGCTCTAACAGCCTTAAGCTCACATTTTGATTACATGAACATGATAAATGTGTTATAATGTCTTTCTACAATAAGGAAATACATTAATTAGAATGAAAGTTTTTTAATGTTTTTATAAAGAACTAAGAATTTTTTATTAAAAACACTTCAGATGCTCGCAGGATCCATACAGGGTTGTAAATTATACCTAGCATTGACTTGATGTGAAGATTATGGTGAGATTTGTAATTTAAATATCAAGCAAGGATGTCACTCAAGGAGAGCGATTTGTGAGGCATTTTAAGTTACCTATCCATTAGCAATAACAGCGGCAGAAGTCATTCCATTATCATAATATATTCCTCCTAAAAGCATACTAACGATAACAATTATCATGAAGATATACCTATGGATCACTTTTCTAATAGTGATGACAGATACCCTGATACCACAAGTCTCACCCGTCCAAAACACATGCAAAGACAAGAGCCATATTACGCTATTTGAAATCTTCGTCGAGAGCCCAAAACGATGCAAGTGGTGTCCTCATGGGCATATATGAGATGCAATGTGTATAAATATCTGTCAATCACAACAATCACGTGACGAAAGCATGATAATATACTGCACATACGCTGTAAATTCACTGGACCAAGAGTTTCTTGCAAATTGTCCACCGAGACAAGGAATCCTTGGCCCAGCGCTTCATTGGTAAAATTCAGTTACTATTATACACATGTTTGCCTTGTTCTGATCACATTGGTTTATTCCAAATGACCTCTGTTTTGTAATAGCTACTCTAACATATAGGTAAACACAATCTTTTTCTGTCATTGGTAATGATGTTAATATTAGGTGACGACAGGGCGTGATGGCAACAACAACCACGATGACGAGGTGAGCAATTATCGAAGGATAAAGACAATATATAAGCCTTGGTGCCGTATCTCCGTCCTCTCTCAACCGCTCCTCACACACACAACCAGTTCTCAGGTAGAGGCTCCACAAGCAAAAGGCTGTGCTTGCCGCCTGATCGATGTCACATACCCAGGAATCAATCTCAACCAGTCATCAGCGCTCCCTGAATCACAAGTCGGAGACGTGTCCGTTTAACCGCTGGATATTGATTTAGTGGTAGTTATCAATTTTTAACTGCGTTGTTAACTCCAGGCAGGTAGCCTGTGCAAGACAGCGCCCCTAACGGCGAGTTTCCACTAGTCGTCTGCTCCACCACCTGTCACCTGCGAGCGGGAACGAGAGAAGCGAGGACGGGACAGCTGGATTCTACAGGAAGTGGTACTCGTCGGCTGAACACTCGCAATGTGAACGTGACGAATGGAGGGAGCATATGGTATTCGGTGTCTTTCAAGGGAAATGGATATATATTACGGAGAATATATGAATCCAAATGGTCGCGTTTTTAAGAAGTTAACTTAATGGTATAGCCATACATCATTATTTACTAGGCGGTGTGTGATGCTCGTGAGTGATCGTCTGAAGAAGCTCCACAGACAATCCGGAAACTCCGACGGGACAGAAGGACCTACCCGGACCACACGCAATGGCTGCAGCCACCCCTGAATCATCCACCCTCATCAACACCCTCGTCGTAACGGGACTGCTAGTTCTTTTGGCTGGCACTAATGTCGTAACATCGCAGACATATACAGTCCTGACCATAGGTAAGTTCCACCTTGTATGTCCCCGTGGGTACACTGGACACATTAGCTCAGCAGCTGTGTTTAATCACAAGCAGTTATTTTGATTGTATAAGTATCGGTGTCTGTAACTGGTTCAATCAATTAGAGCGTTGTATTTTCAGAAACATATATCACATATTTATTGTTTCGATACCTTTGCAATCTAACCGCAAAGAACATTGCTTAAGGTTTTATAGATAATTATGAAAAAGGGACGATGGTTCCACATTACCAACACCTGAAGTTGTTTTTACACGACTTCCGATTACAGAAAAATTATACTTATTCATGTCGATTATAACCTCAAAAGTGTATCCAATGTCAATCGAATGTGAACATTATAGTCTTGTGTCTGTCATTATTTTTCCAAAGTCGATACCCGTACGATTGGAATTCGATAAACGTGCTCATTTTGCGGAAACCACATCCTAAGTCTTAAATAAGTAGGGAATGATATGAGCAAAACATGGTTCCAATTAATCCTGGCAGACAAAGCTTTGAGGATCTGATTGGTCCAATGTGCTCCCCCAACACCAGAGACAGAAGCAATTGATAACGATTGGTCCTCATTGCCTTAATTTGATGAACTTACATGTCCTTTGTCCATACATACATAGAATTGGGCGCCACAAATAACACACACAACCAAAATGTAGTTATTTAATTGACCACAAATTGACATCATTTTTCTGGTAAATAGTATAGTCTTATCAATATGATCTTTGAACATGACAACAGATTGAGATGCAGATACACGGATGCACCTTACCATCACACCGTAAAAGAAATGAAATAGATAAATATTTCCTTATGAAAGTCATTTGATATGACTAAACGTGCTAAAAACAATTTCTATGCGTACATAGATATAAAAAATCAATGGTCGTCAATTTGGCCCAACCAAAATATAGGACATCCGGTGCTTCAGTTGGGAATGGTCATTTTCTTTTTTTTAGAAAAACGTTGTTATTATATATACATATTTCGAGCTATGAAAACGATAAGAGTGGTATTTCTGTAGACAGAGTGGTGTTTCTATACACAGAGTGGTGTTTCTATACACAGAGTGGTGTTTCTATACACAGAGCGGTGTTTCTATACACAGAGTGGTGTTTCTATACACAGAGTGGTATTTCTGTAGACAGAGTGGTATTTCTATACACAGAGTGGTATTTCTATACACAGAGTGGTATTTCTATATACAGCGTGGTATTTCTATACACAGAGTGGTATTTCTATACACAGCGTGGTATTTCTATACACAGAGTGGTGTTTCTATATACAGCGTGGTATTTCTATACACAGAGTGGTATTTCTATATACAGCGTGGTATTTCTATACACAGAGTGGTATTTCTATAAACAGCGTGGTATTTCTATACACAGAGTGGTATTTCTATACACAGAGTGGTATTTCTATACACAGAGTGGTATTTCTATACACAGAGTGGTGTTTCTATACACAGCGTAGTATTTCTATAGACAGCGAGGTGGTTTACACCATTTCGGAATTTCTACAGAATCTTAACACAAACAGATCACATTGCCATATGACATCAATGAAGGGTTACTACTGTATGGAATCATCATTCTGGGTCGTTGCAATCTGCTGTTTCCGCAAGAAGGCAATTAGTAAAAGTCATCTTGGTGCTTCATCTACAACTAAACCATGGAGTTTAAGAGCACTTGATGATGTTGTTGATGTATTGTAGCCTATAAATAGCACCAGCGCCATCCCGATATCATTAACGTGGTGATGTGGAGCAGGACTAAATACCTTTGTGGGCTGCGTCATGACTGATTGCATATAGCCGACAGGTGTGCATGCGTAACCACCACGGGCAAACTGACTTGGATAGTAACCTAGAAGTACACTGCAGATGCGTTTGTGTCGTGGTGGTGTTGGGGGGATGTCCCTGGAGACGTAGTGAAATTAAGATCACGAACATGAACACGATACGACTGCGTGATAATTATTTACTCGGGAACATGGACCAAATGAAAAGACATGTAAGTCCCGTAACCATTACAACTACCGGTAGTACCTGATATGAGGCGGTTTTAAAATGAACCAGCTTTAGTAGGATCAGTTGGTCAGGAACATAGGCCAGGGAGATGAGTGGGTCTAAAACATGGATATATTTGACCAAGAACATAAACCATCATTATTGAAGGTATCAGGCAAAAAGAAACCTTTCACTTTGTGCGAGTTCATTAAAAAAACACACGTGAAGGTCCGGGTTAGAATTGGTCTTCAGCAACCCATGCTTGTCATAATAGGCGACTAACAGGAGCGGGTGACACATGTCTTCGTATCTCAATTGCGTAGATCGATGCTTATGTTGTTGGTCACTGGATTGTCTGGTCCAGGCTCGAATATTTACAGACCACCGTCATATAGTTGGAATATTGCTGAGTGCGGCATTAAACAACAAACAAGCAAGCAAAATCATTAAAGAACAACCTTCAAAGGGTGGCGCTCATGTGTACCTTGTTATCTTCATGATTGTTCTGACAAAAATGCTGCAACCAGTTTCATCGCGGAATAAAATAGTTCCTCATAAGGCGAGTAATACAAGCCCATGTATGCTGAAGTTGCTTTAAAGTAGCATCTTATTGATGTAGAAAACAACAAAGAGATTCACATACTATTATCGTTACGTGAGGGAAGTCTTAAATTAACTACTTCAGTAAGTCAGGCACGGCGACAGCGTGTAGTAATACATTTACATTAAGTACAGGACGCCAAAATGGCCGACGCCATACACGCGACGGGAGGGACTTCGGAAGTTGTAAACAAACCTGTAGCGGTTACAAGTGTTTTTCTTCAATGATCAATTATTGACCGATCGTTGATCGATGGTTGAAAAGATGTATCAAGTAGATATTGAAGTACATTGTATAGATTTCTGTAGACTGTCATTGCCTGTCTGAGCACGGATCGACTCAAACGATTTTGTAAGGATTCCTTCGTTTTGATCACTTGGAATGGTCACAGCGAGGACATTCATGTACCTGCTACAACCAAACCCTCTGCACATACCCAATGTAGGCTAAATGTTAAGTTGCAGGGTCGGGAATGGGTTGGAGTTGCAGGGTGACATCCGTGGAGGTGGCGGCTAGGTTTCGTCAGGGTACGTTCTGGGTTGGTGTGGCCATAGAAGGTGTCGTGTTGGTGTGGCCGTAGAAGGTGTCGTGTTGGTGTCGTCAGAATAGGCGTAGGGTAGGGGTCTCTAGAAGTCTACCCGTTGGGTAGAAGTCACAGGTGTGCCTTCGGGCAGGAGTCAGCCAGGTTCTTACCTGCAATTATTGTACCGAATTCAGTAAAACGCGCATCTGATCAGAGCGTTGATTAGCGCTTCTGATCAGAGCGTTGATTATCGATTGGCAATGATTGTTCAGGAGATTGTATAAAAAACTAAAGTATCAAATATAACAAAAGAAATCATCTACACTAGAAGATCAGGTTCGCGTTCAATAATTCATCTTCGAACGCAGTCAGGAAAAGATATCATTTAAAAAAAAATTCTCAACAAAAGGTTCAGGCATAAAACACATCATGACTAAACCAATAAATCTTACTTCTTCATCCCAACATCATTTCTAAAATCATCAGAGCACAGGTTAATTCTTTTGTCCAGTGGGTGGTCACATCTGAGGCATAATGAGTCCATTTATTGTATGCACGGAAGCGAGAAATTCTCGTGCTTCCCGAAAAGTGTACTTTTATGCATGACAGACCTTAAACAACGATCACTGGACAGCACGAACAGGAAGGTTAATAAGGAATTAAGGAACTCGTTCCGAATGTAAATAATAGACTTTTGTGCGATCTGCTAAGTATATTTTGTCTGTGTTTTAAGTCTGTTTTTGAAACAGGAAAATAAGAATACATTCTTGGTAAACCGTATAACTTAGTGTTTGTTTAATGTTACCAAACCATAAGCTTTTTTTCTGAATTGTACTCATGATGAAATGTTCTTCATGGAATAAAACATTTTCTTAATGAAAAATATTGAACATTTGTCGGCTTGACCAGTGCCATCAACATTTCACACCCATGTAACAATGATAGTAACAACAATCATGATAATAATAATAATGCAGAAGGCTGCAGTGTTCGGGAGTCTTCATATTCTCCGGTGGGTTCTTGGTGGGTTCGACTAGGCAGCTCTTCCTGGGAGAAATCGAATTCGTTGTCTGGGATGCGTGTAGAGGGGGCAAGGGCCCTGAGCTGATGATGAGCCTTACCAGCCTGACTGTGCCAGGATCACCCGAACCCTCTCTGCTGCATTTTCATCTTAATCTATGAAATAACAATAACTTTATTCAGACTAGTTTGTTTCTTTACTTTCTCAATGAAATTTCGCGAGGATATTTTTGTATACACTGAATAAAAGTATACATATGCCGGTCGAAGTTAGGAAAATAATTTCATCTGTCTTTATGCAACGAGGGTTGTTATTTTTTGAGGATGAGGATTGCATATGAAAAATCTGGGGACGTTGTGATGGATACATAGCCATGATTCTACCGTCGTTTTCTTAATAGAATGGACGCTGACAGCGACAGTATTCAATGGAAAGCCTTTGGTTTTATCCTATATTGTTTATTCGCTTGCAAATATTTGAGTTGGGACGTTGCCATGACCACAATTTAACACGGCTTATAAGCATTATGATATATTCTATATTATACTCATCGTCTGATGTATGTTATTTCAGAAGCCCCATTGATGTAACCAATAATTTTGTTTTTACAGAATATGAAACCTCCTGAAAAATAACCTACAATGGCTGTTTTGTTTCATTGAAGAACATATTTAACAGTTCCTGTCGGAACTCTTGTACTGAAACCGAAATAATCTCAATATGTCTGATGTTAATAGAAACTGTGAATTATGTACAGCAAATATGTGTTAAAATGGATGTTTACACATGTAATCCGGACGTGAGCACTGAAGACAGACGCAGACAGAAAACA